TCAAAAAAAAAAAAAAAAAGTTGAGCTAAGTGAGGCAGCGAGCTGCTTTGCGTGGAATATACCCTGCCTCACTGGCAGGGCACCACAAGGACATTAAAAAAAAAACAGGAATCACATTCCCCACATATTCGCCAGATACATTTCACGAAGGATTCGTGTCACTTCCACCTGCGTGAGGGTCTTCCCCGACGTAGCAGAACTCCTCGTTCGTAGTTCTTTTTTTTTTTTTTATTCTTTTTTACATGTTTTTCTTTTCGGTGTCCAACCCTGCACCGAGCCCCCGACTTCTTCGCAGTAGGCTACTTTTTTTTTTTCTTTTCTTTTTTAAACAGTAGGCTACTTTTGATACTTAGCGTTTGCCTGTAAAAGTGTTTTTTTTAGGAACAAGAGCGTTGGAAAAAGACGCCCGGCTACGGGCCAGCACATCATTACTCAGGGTTGTGCCCGTTACACCCCCATCCTTGGTTTCCTCTCTCTCTCTCTCTCTCTCTCTCTCTCTCTCTCTCTCTCTCTCTCTCTCTCTCTCTCTCTCTCTCTGTGTATATATATATAAAACCCACACGCTTTCATTTCATTAGCTTCCGGTCGGGCCGACGTGTCTGCGCCCAGGCCCAAGACGACAGTTGGGGGCCCGGGCCTTGTTCAGTTAGGCACGGCCAGGTAGCCTCCAGACTCCAAGCGAGGCAGTATTCTCATTGGCTCGCTGGGCCTCAGTGACGACAATGCTGCTTTCTGATTCGCCCGCGGCCATTTCGTGATGTGTCGGCCTGACAGTGAATGTGCCGGAGGCTCAACCACCGAGCCCTGGGCCCAACTGCTTGGCGCAGCTGCTGTTTCTGCCAAGAGCCCAGACAGAGGCTCACATTGCACTTCAACCAACTGGCGTGCTGCAACTGTCTGATACCCACATTGGAAAATGTTGAGATAAGGGTTTCTCGTGAATATTCAGGCTCGCCTTCACTTAGGGCGGGCACGAGGCTTGCTGGGGGCCACAGCCCAGAACATGTGCATGTTGGCTAGGGCCCCTTGAGGGTATGTTTCTCAGATAAATATATTGAAAAAAAAAAAAAAAACGGATTTGGGTGGGTTTCATCGAATTTCTTTTATGACTGTGTTTTTTTTTGGCTCAACCTAAGCTATCAGAGTGGCCCGGGACTACCTCACCACTAAGCGCCCGCACGCGCCCCGGCCAGCACAGCGCAATGCAGACACTTGCGCTCTCTCCCAGTAGCRTGTCCGCATTGCCAGCCTAGGCCAGAATGCCAGGCCCTGGCTGCCTTCCTTCCTATATGGAAGTGACAGCCGCTGTTGGCTGCGTGTGGGTCTGGCTTCCGGTCGGGCCTCAGTGTCTGCGCCCAGGCCCAGGACGACAGTTGGGGGCCCGGGCCTTGTTCAGTTAGGCACGCCCAGGTAGCCTCCAGGCTCCAAGTGCAGGTCGTATTCTCATTGGCTCGCTGGGCCTCAGTGATGACAATGCTGCTTTCTGATTCGCCCGCGGCCACTTCGTGATGCTCCAAGCGAGGTCGTATTCTCATTGGCTCGCTGGGCCTCAGTGATGACAATGCTGCTTTCTGATTCGCCCGCGGCCACTTCGTGATGTGTCGACCTCACAGTGAATAGTCCTGGGGCTCAACCACCCGGCCCTGGGCTCAACTGTTTGCCGCAGCTGCTGTTTCTGCCAAGAGCCCAGGCAGAGGGTCACATTGCACTTCAACCAACTGGCGTGCTGCAACTGTCTGATACCCACATTGGAAAATTCTGAGATAAAGGCCTCTCGTGGATATTCAGGTCCGCCTTCACTTAGGGCGGGTACGAGGCTTGGTAGGGGTCACAGCCCAGAACATGKGCATGGTTGCTAGGGCCCCTTGAGGGCATGTTCCTCACATATATATATTGAAAAAAAAAAAAAAAAAAACGGATTTCGGTGGGTTTCACCGAATTTCTTTTACGACTGTTTTTGTTTTAGCTCAACCTCAGCTATCAGAGTGGCCCGGCACCACCTCACCACTAAGCGCCCGCACGCGCTCCGGACAGCACAGCGTAATGCAGACACTTGCGCTCTCTCTCAGCAGCGTGTCCGCATTGTCTGCCTAGGCCAGAATTCCAGGCCCTGGCTGCCTTCCTTCCTATATGGAAATGGCATTGTTGGCTGCATGTGGGCCTGGCTGGGAAGCGTCCAGTAACCGCTTCCGGTCGGGCCTCAGTGTCTGCGCCCGGGCCAAAGACGACAGAGCGCAAAGGTACGAGATGGTGAGATGTCGATGTAACACTTGTCCTCGTCCACCTGGATGGCTCTGTGCGGACCCACGACCTCCTGAATTCCACTTATTCTTTCAACTAATGGCACACCAACAGGTGTCTAAAGTTGTTACATACAAGAGTTGTTGAGAAACAGACCGATGGTCGAATCCAGATACAACCAGAAGAGTTGTAGCACCACCAGTTTCCCCCATCACCAATCTGATCACCCCGCATCATCGTGATGAGGGGCTGATACAAG